ATGTACAAACCTTTACATATTTGGGCAACATCATCAATGAACACGGTGGATCTAATACAGATGTGAAGGCACGGATTGGCAAAGCAAGGGCAGCATATTTACAACTGAAGAACATCTGCAACTCAAAACCATGGGCAACCAAAACCAAGGTCAGAATTTTCAATACAAATGTCAAGACTGTTCTATTGTATGGGGCCGAAACCTGGAAAACCACGAAAGCCATCATTCAGAAGATACAGGTTTTTATTAACAATTGTCTACGCAAAATAATTCGAATCCATTGGCCGGACAATATTAGCAACAATTTATTGTGGGAGAGAACAAATCAGATCCCAGTGGAGGAAGAATTCAAGAAGAAGCGTTGGAAGTGGATAGGACACACATTGAGGAAAGCACCGAACTGCGTCACAAGACAAGCCTTCACATGGAATCCTCAAGATTACAGGAGAAATGGAAGACCACAGAACACATTACTCCGGGAAATAGTGATAGACATGAGAAAAATGAACAAGAATTGTATGGAACTAGAAAAGAAGGCCCAGGACAGAGTGGGTTGGAGAGTGCTGGTCGGCGGCCTATGCTCTATTATGAGTAACAGGCGTAAGTAAGTAAGTATATTGTTATATAGAGCTGAAGGTCTAATGTGAAACTGGAGGTTTGACATTATGACTGTGAATGGTTCGGTATTACTTTGAAAACTTTTGCAAACTTTTTATGTTTGCAAAATTAGTTTGCTCGTTAACTGATTTCATTCATAATGATGGTTCCTTTTCAGTGTTTTGAAGAGACATTGTAAGGCTTGTCACCATTGCTAACATTAATGAGTTTGACTGTTGTATAAGCGGAATAGGTCAATTATGGCATGTTCATGATGTGCATAATTGATTCACGCGATCATTGATCGGAATAACTATACATATGACGTGAATGTGTATATGAATGTTGCGAATTGTCGACCAGGATGCTTGGTACCTGTGTGATTACGCCACAGGATTGAGCTGTACTAGGACTAAAATTGATCAGTCTGTTATTGGCATATGTACATACCGTGCGTATTGCCTTGAATTACAAGCACTATAAGCAAAGATGGATATTGGCTAATAGTGGAATCCAGTTTGATGCGCGTTTCGTCCTATTTGGGACTCTTCAGTTGGATGTACACACATCACAGAGTTGATGTTTACTCTGGGACTCGAACCCAGTACCATTCGCTTCAAGCGCCAACGTGTTATCCACTTAGCTACTGAATCCTGATAGCTACTTGCTTGGTCAATGGGGTGAAGTTTATTTCACTTGGTATTGTTTTTATTCTTGAATCTTCCCAATGCCGTTTAAGACTGCAATTGATCAGTCTGTGCGTATTGCCTTGATATTGCTTTAATTCACAAGCTTTTATAAGCAAAGACCGTTATAACCAATTTCGGGCTTTATTATCAAACATCTTCAACATATAATTACAATTGTTATGAGTGCACAAACTAGAAATTTTTTATACTCCGACATAAATCAGAGACAAAACGAACAAATACTAATATCTTTTCATTATTTTTCCAACCTACTTATAAAACAGTCAACATTACACATAAAAGATAGATGATAAGTAGGCTCTCGTAATACATGTCTTTAATAACTCAGTTGAAGAAATTTTAGTTTAATCAGTTGAAGTGCAATTCTGACCGTGCAACTTATGGTTAATCTCTATATCATAAACGAACAATGCTTTGAAGATACCTGTGAACAAGTACTTTCATTCTACATTTGTCTTATGTAACAGGATATTTTCTTTAAACCATCTGACAAGATGTTATTATTGTGTTGTTTGATAAGCTCGATCCGATGATTGAAGGTAGATCGGTCTTGAAATAGTATTTTACACTTTAAAAGACGAAAATAAGGTGAGACTGTGATTAATGGATGACCTATAAGCAACGCTAAAGTGACCTTGAGAATGTCCATCTACTAAATATAACCAAATGAGGGTTATAAATCATTGTGAATTATCACTGACAGTAGATGGTTAGGGTTAGGAATTAGATTCAGAGTTTTCATCACAAACTGACATCAGCTAAAATGCCATCTGACCAAATGAATAACTAAATTTCACACTAAAATCCATGACCTGTTATCATATATCTGATTGGTTCGTTCGTAGATTACAGTCTCGTTGAGACTGATAACACATTGGTTAGCTGCAACGTAGGACCAGGAACATATATGCATGAATCGAAATTGCACCACTTCATTAGCACAACAAGATTCGTAGAAGTAGTCATTTCGAAGGTAGTACTATAAAACAGTATGTGTATAAGGATATAGTACAGGAAGAAAGAATTAGTTTGTAGAAAGAAAGATATGAAGTGATTTTAATCTCATAGTTTAAGAAAAGACAGAAAGTGTATACATCTACGTCATTTTGATCCATTCTGAGCCATGTCACACACAGTCTACAACCATTGGTTACGATATTCACACGGACTCCAATCAATTAGTCTGCATCTCCCAACATGGCTCAGACCAGAAGTTAGTGACTTCAAGCACTGATGCCACGTTTTAGTTTGGCCGCCTCTAACTTTCTTCCAATTATCCCTAAAACCGGTTAGCATTGCACGTCGTGATAATTGGTGTTCAAGCATACGTAACACATAGCTCAATCCTCTCAGTCGATGATGATTTACATCCTCATCAATTGATTTATCATCATTCCTTAATACCCTGAGTTTAATCACACTATTACTTACCTGATGATCCTAGCAGATATAAGCAATATTTCTAAGACATCTCTGATCAAATACTAGTCATTTACGAGTATCTTCAACCCTTAATGATTAAGTTTCACATCGGTAAAATAGAACATATAGAGAAAATCAAAGATTTAAAAAAGTAATCATCATTGAAATTTTAGGTGTTAATTATTGAATACAAAATAAGATAAACATTACAAAACCATATTACATAATTAAGAAAAAAATTTTCTTTTGTAAAAAAAAAAGAAAAAAAATTTATCCCCATATTGATTGTCATTGATTTATGATTATCCTTTCTCTTTTTTTTGTTGTTGTTGTTGTTGTAATAAATGACATAGAAACCAATTAAAGAAAATCAATAATACAAAAAAAACCCATATGAAACATATACAATATTAAATATACATAGAACAATATAAACATGTAAACTATTAACTCAATGAAAAACAAATAGAGAAAAGAAAACGAAAGAAAACAAACAAAAAACAAAAAGAACAATGAAATATACAAAAACGATGGCAGCTATAATTATCCATAAAGTCTTTCATTATTCATTAAGTATAGAATCATGGTAACTACTTTCAATCATTATTGTTTATCCTTATTTATTACATATAAGTCATATATTTCAATGAGTAGACAAAATGAGATTTTCGGATGTTTCGTCACTTTGTGTAAATTATTTCTTCAAAGAAGAAATAAATAACTAAAATGAAAATGAATTCAAGTTTATTTATTATGTAAATGATATGTTGTGTAATAGTGTAATTTATCTAAACAATGATATGCTTATAATGATCAATTATTCTAGATGTTTATGATGTAACATCACATTCGAATATGAAACATTCATTTAGTAAATGAATGTGAACAAATTGAAATGTCTTTAATATGAATAAGGATAACACATTCATTGAGCAATTATTTTTTGAAAAAAAAAAAACAAAAACAAAAACAAAGAGCGAAAACTTTTGGATAATTATAGAGAAAATAGTTTTTCAGTACCAAAAAAAAAAAAAACAAACGAGAAAAACAAAAAGAAAAGGTAACTTTTGAATAGTTGAAATACAACAAACAGCTCGTTTCATTCATTCATTTAAACAAACAAACAAACAAACAAACAGACAAAAAACATAAAATTGAACGCCATATTGAAAAAATAAATTTGAGAAAAACATCATTTATATTATGCATGAACAAAAAAACAGCAACAACCACAATAGCTTTAATCCTTACTTGTTATTTGTAAAGTATTCATATCTACCCCACCCCCCACCACCACCCCTTTTTTCTACTACAATTTGGTTAAAATAAACATAAATAAATAAAAATACACGTACAATATTTTCATAAATAAACAAAACCATTTATCACATACATACATACATACATACATACATACAAGAATCCACCAAGAACAAATTGAACATAAATACGTTGATATCTAGAATAAACGTAGTCATTTAAATGGATAAATATATTTCCAATTTAGACCAGAGTTTACAATATATATATATGTTGAATGTAAAGATCTTTCAGAAAATGGAAGCATCCAATAAACAATATCCTTCTTCGATTAGGGTATCCGGGTGATATCTTCGATCTTTACACAAATTTAATGATTTGTGTATCATGTGTATGTCTATTTGATGCTTTCATATATCAACAATATGAATTTGGTTTAATAAGTAGTATCTTCTACTGTAACATAGAATTTCATGATATAGAAAAATAAATGTATAGAAATAGATTACAAACGTACATATATATATCTATATATATAAATCATAGTTCATAGATTTATTATCAAAGCATAGAAAACAAGATACAACAAGAATAGTAACACAGCCATATAGGAGATTAATAAAAAAAACTAGTAATAGTAATAATAATAATAATAATAGTAACCATACATATAGGATAGACAGCGAAGAAAAGATGAATAAGCAACAACAAGGACGACAACAATAATATATTCCCCGAGACAAATCAATTAGAAGAAGAAAATGCTACATCAAGTATTCTTCCCAATATCTCTATCTCTCTATCTATCTATTTCTATAATAGTAATCACATTTAACCAAATGATTGATACATTCAAAGTAATAATGAACATATATATTAAATTAAAACTCTGCATAGAGACCCCTCTTTGACTACTGTTGTTCCCTAACCTAAATAAAGAAGAGAAGATTAAGTATGAGATGAATAACATTATCTCATAGAAGATTAATTTAAACTATTTAATAGATTAAATTAAAATAATGGTAATTTATTTTGTGTTTGTTCTTTTACATAAGTACTAAAACGTTTTAAAAATCTTGGATATTCACGTTGTGCTAATGAACGTAAACCAGCAGCTGGTACCCAACCACCTGGATTAATATTAGCCATATAAACAAGACGTGTACATAATTGATTACGAGTTAATTTACTTAAATCATTTGATGAAAATGATATTTCTGAAGAAGAACAAGAAGATGACGAAGAAGGAGAAGAAGTTTTAGTATTTGGTAAAATTTCTGTTCGACAAAATAAAACAACTTCTAAACCTAAACGTATAGTAGGTGATGAAGATGGTGGAATTTTTTCAGAAAGATAATTCGTTGACATATTAACAACCATCCATCCATCTAATACATTAGAATTATTATTATTATTATTATTATTATTATTTGATGAATGTTTTGAATTAGTTGATTGTTTGAATGAATAATCATGTGATTGTGTAATATTATCATTATTTGTTATATTAGTTGACTGTGAATAGGATGATATATTGGATGTTGATCCTGTTCCCATAGATGCTGAACGTTGATGAACTTTATTTTGATGAATATCATTTCGAATATTATAAGAATCTGAAGATATACTTGATCTATGAGTTAGCTTAGGATTAGTATTTATTTGAACAGGATTTACAGGACATATATGAGACCAAAATAAAGAATCTCGTTGAGTTGTTGGCCAAACACGTTTGTATACCTAAAGTAAAGAAGGAAATGAAAAAGATTGAAATGAATAAAACTAACTAAATTATAACAGAATGAGTTCAATTCAAAGGAACAGACTCTGTGTTACGACTCAATATTGTTCAAACTTATATAGGAGAAAAACAAACACTACATACTATTAATTCGTAATGAATAACAAACATAGAAGAGTTTTCACCGACTTCATTAAAGAGCTGTATATTCAAAATTTATCAAAAATTATCCTCAAAGAAAAAAACACTGACAAAGAGAGAAAAAGTTGATATTAAATTCATAAAAATCCATACCTGATGTGTAACCACAGTATCATCTCCGCATACTTCAAGTACAGCTGGTGGATGATCCACCGTGAACTCCCATTCCATTCGATAACGTACATCCCAAAAGTAAGTACACATCTCACGGGCAGTGACACCATGAACAACGTGAATAGCCTATATAAATGAGAAAATTACTGAGTAGAAAAGTACATAAAAAAAAATAAAGATGAAAAGAGTAACAGAATGAAACCCTAACATACTTTTATCAAAGTTGAATAGCGACTAGTACAGAAACTGTAGACATGCACTATGTTCTATTAAGGACTTATCAGACGAGTGCACCTGCACCCTATTGTTGATATTCGCAATTAAACTAGAATCCAGTATCATTCCCTTCATATACTTGACACGTTATGCACTAAGCTACTAGAGTTCAGAAAGCCACTATATTGTTAGATGAGACAATGTGTTAGTGTGTGAAGTAAAAAGATATTAAGTCTGGGTCCAAAATCAAACTTTTACATTTTTATCCAGATACATATAGATAATGAGACCTGAATAAGATGAAACGCATGTCCTGGATTTTACTTGTGACTAAATGATAATAGCGAGCCAATCAGTTACAAACCATTTCCACTAAAAAATTGATCATAGTCAGTACATGGTTGTGAACATTGTTGCAATTCATCTTCCATTGTTTTCGGTGAGTAGCTTCTTCGTACCTTATACAGTTGAACTTCATTAGTTACAGTTTTCAATCATTGTCTAACTTAGATAGGTTCGTAATTTTAAAGAAACTAATCAACTGAATTTCTTAACATCAACAATCATATAGTAATTTAAACGAAAAAGAAATGTAACAACGACAATGCTCTTAAATGTATTAACTATTCAATTAATTGACGACGAATTCGAACTGACCCACAATGAATGACATAATTAGTCACACAATATATCAGAAAACAATTGGCATCTTCATATATTGATTTCACCTTAACTAACAAAGTTACGCTACCAATTTCATTGAAGCTAGACGGTCAAAGAAAAAAAAAGATGTCGAATAATCCGTTATTCTCCATGTTTGTATTGACCTGATAGTAAATATTGATTCTCTATTATAGTAAACTGATAACTAGATCTGATAAGTGAAAGTTGTTTTTTAATCAGACCCGATTGGATTCGTCATGGGTTTAATGGACTATAAACATCAAAAACACACTAATCTAGAAGTTTAGCTACCAAGTATGGCTAATAGTGACAATTTATCTTCGAATTATGGTACATAACTGAATTGTGAGTGAGAATGATCATGATTCGTTGTCTGCTTAATCAGACATGTAGATAGTCTGACAGATGTCAGATGAGTTATATATTACCGTATCTTTATTATTGACACTCACTTATTATTGATTGTTCATTGTTGTTGGATTGTGTCGGGTTTTTGGTGTGCAAATATATTTAATGTTGTGATCGGGTTAATCATGTGTTCTTGATCATCTGAGTTGTGTTGAAGTCATGTACAATAGACACTGGGAGGGAATCTAGTGTAGATATTCATCTAAGGTAAATTAACGTCCCATATATGTAAACGTGGAAATCTAACCATTATAACATTAGACAAATTAAAACCGAGCGTTATAACAATGACATAAAAAGAAATAAGTATTTCATATTGATCTTTTAAAACGTATATGCTAAATAATTAGAGAGAAGTAAATGTCTATCATAATGATTAATACCTGTAAAGGATCCAATACAACACCATCATCTGATACAAGTTCTCGTCGAAAAATAATCATATCACCTTCTTGAACAACAATTCTCCAATTTTCAGGAATTTCATAACTATTACTATCGATTCTGTTATTACCAATATCTTCTTGTGAATGAATATCATTACAAGCAGTGGAGGATAATGTAACAGTCGATGATGATGACAGTGAATTATTAGAAGAAGTCGAACAAAGTTTCGATGAATAATCAAATATTTGTGTACTGGCAAAATTTTTCATATGCATTTTCACAACTTTATCTAATTCATTATATAATGGATGATTAGATGGCATTGCTCTAGCCCAACGTAATGCTTCACTAGCCGACTTCAAAGCAGCTAAACGTACTTCATTCTCTGTATTAATAATAATAATAGCAAAAGTAACTGTTAATTTGTTAGATGAAAGCGGCAGGAATAGAGATCACCGTCTACCATCCCAACATCGATCCGTCCGATCTTAAGTTAGTGATATCTAGTTAATGAGTTCCATGGTAGCCGGTTACCTACGACTGGTTCATATGCCATTTGTTCCCTCAGGATCCTGGAGCCCATGTGTATTATTGGTTTCGAATCATGGTTTTCCAACTGCCCTACGTGAATCCTCCATATCTACCAACTTAGTTTATGAGTCGAAAATTCTGTTTTCGTCCTCTCAATTTCGTAAACAACACCCCGATCACCAGAAGGCAGTGAGTAGAACTTTCCTAACATTGGCTGTATACGCATAGGCATGTGACAGCATTTCAACAGGGAGAGCTGACTCTCCCCACCCTCAGTTGTTCCAGTGCATGTGGGAGCATGCAAGTTGAAAGTAAGCATTTTATCACAGATATCTTTGAAGTACTTCGTAATAATAATAGAAAACTCAATGAAGAATGTTGAGGTCATCAGATAGAAACGTTAACCAAATTGATGAGATTATAAATCTTTACAATTTGAAACTTGAGGTTAAAATTATTCCCTAATGGATTATTCGCCAATATGATTAATTCACTTTCGAATTATATATTTGATACTAATATTAGTAACATACTCATTTGTTTTTTTGACTTATTAAATATGTGATAAGGGGTTTTGTAGAAATTTTAGAAATTTCACTAATTGGTAATAATCATCTGCTCACTAGTGACTGACTTCAAGAAGCATTTCCTGAAGTTCTAATGAGAAGCCGTTACCAGTGGAATTCAACCAGGTCTGTTGTGATATATCAGCTCACTAAAGGCAATGGTGGATGCATCACTCAATTTCGTGGATTGTTTGAAATTAGACATAAACACCGTGGAATGCTGGCCAGGTCAGTGGTCTAATGGTTAAGCACTCATGCGCGAGGCTGATTTGTCCCAGGTAGGAATCTCGCGGGGTCTTGGATGCGTACTGTTGAGGAGTACCGCAATAAGACAAAACGGTAGTCCAGTGTTTCCAGGTTTCCCAAGGTGGTCTAGCTTCAATTGACTCATGATGTCAACCATTGATAACTTGTACCAATGCACCAAGTGTTATGCTCTTATTTACGTGTGGCACTATAGACTATAGTGAAATTATCCAAGACATGAAATCGTACAGAAAAACTCATTCATTAAAAAAGAATTTCACGAAGGGATATTTGTTACTTCAGCGAGAAGAATATATATATATATAAACCAATTGAATAATTAAGTATGAAGATTCTTAAATTGAGAGGAAGAAAAGCGAATGTTTAGCGATTTAAACGGCTTTTTGGATATGAAAGATCCACCTAGAGGGGTTGGGAAACCCTCATTCCAAACTAATGGTTCACATGGGCTCCAGTATCCTGAAGGAACAAATGGCGTATGAACAAATTATTGGTTACAGGCTACCATGGGACTGCATCTCCTTACGTTGCTACATTGCCTTGTGGATTAGATCTTCAAGTCAAAGGCTCCAGGTGTGGCGTCCTAAGAAAACCACCTGCTTCAGTTCGGGCACTCGTGTAGTATCATAGCCCTCACATAAATCGAATGATGAAGTGTGACACATATGTATTCGGTGCCTCTTTGTACAAAGGTCCGATTTACTAGCCACTTTTCATAACCTCAGGCTGAATCTAACACGGTAATTTGAACACAAGGGAAAAGGTGTGAAGACTGGTGATTTAGTCGACTACTAAAACAAATTAAAATGATTTAGGAATACAACATGTTTTATATGATTTATTCACATTTAAATTAGCAACCAGACTTGTATAAATTGAGCCTAATTATATTTAACAATAATAATTCAATAACTTACTATGTGATATTACCATATTATCACATGACAATCCTTCTTAAATTGTTAAAACATGTCACATACGGTTGAACAAATAATCAACTTTATACCTTATTCACACTCCGATTGATTAAGCCATTAGTTGCCACATAAACTGCCTTTTTTGGATTTCTAAGAATATGATTTCCTGTAAGGGTCTACTTGTAGCCTTATTACTGTATTCGGCTCGCGATTCCTTTCCCAAGATAGTTGAGTTCTTTGAATCACCTGTTTCCTTGCTCATTAGAGCCAATATGTCATTTGGAAATGCGTCTTGTATGATTAATTCCTCTCATCTCTTTGTATCTGACTTATATGTCTTGTGTATGTACCATCACTTCTTACAACTAGGTATAATACTTTTTCGATTCTTTGTTTGACAATTCCAGCTACACATTCGTTGTTACCTTGGTATAATCTGATAAGTACCTTTTCTACCAGATGAAAACTGTGAGTAGGTTGAGGCGACTATTCCAACTTATTGACAGTTTTCTCTTGTGCTTAAGTTGCCGTGTAGAATCAGCCTGCAGTTATGTGAAATAGAACCGAACATTCATTTAGTAAAACCTATCAATTAGGTAGTTAAATTTGGTCGACAAGAAGTCCTCAACCTAAGTTTTGTGTAAGTTGTCACTCGTCAGTAAAGCCTCCATCCAATCTTGGGGGAAATGCTAGTCTCTTTCATATTAAAACGTGTCTCAATCAACTTCATATTTTGAGACATTACCATTGAGTTATTCGGGAAACCACTAACATCCTATAGTACACTGATTAATTACTGAGTATTGGCCATATTTAAGTTAGTCATGCTTCAGTTGTGACCGAATTCTATCCACCAAGGACTACCAGTTGTTTCAAATTCGTAGGTCTACCTCAACGATGAGGTCTTTCAGGGTCTCTTATGAACCATATCTATCTATCTAACATCTCAACATAGCACACACGATGTCAAGTCATTCAAATTAGCGATCATACTAAAAATTAATCGATCGAATTCGACAAACTTGAAGGACAGTTTAAATATGACATCGGTTACTACTTGCAAATCGATTCATATGAGTAAATATACGTAATTAATTTGTATTAATTAGTTTTAAATCATTTTAAGCAACTTACGTTCCATTTTATCTAATTCTGCATCTATAGCATCAAAAAACTCTTCTTCATGCATAGGTGAATTTAAGCCTTCTTCATAGTCTGGACCAACTAATCTAAGTATATCATCATTAACACTATTAAGAGTATTGACATTATCACCATTATTAACAATGTTATTATCAATAATATTATTACATTTCGATATGGATTCTTTAAAACTATCCGAAGAGAAATGTTTAAAATCAAAACTATTTCCATAACTGAAAAATCTTGCATGTGATGGTAAATAATGATGTTGTGTTTGTTGACTATGAATAGTGGTAGTTGTTGTTGTTGTTGTTGCTGTTGTTGTTGTTATAGCTGTTGATAAACCAATTAAATTACGTAATTGTAATAATTCTTGTATCATTGCTTTTTGTGTTTCTTCTAATCGACGACGTCGTTCTATTTCACGTTCTAAACGTTTACGCCAACTTTCTTCATGTTGTTGCATCATATCAATAGTATGTGATAAATTTGTTAAAATTCCAGCTGTGATTGCCTAGAATAAAAAACAAAATTTTTATTCAAAAATAAAAAGGAATCAGTAAGCAAATGGTAACAAAGTTAAATAACAATTAAGAAAGTGTAATCGATCATCTTTATCTATTCCAATCGTTTATATACCCAGTTGTTTGAGTAATGGCTAATAATATTAGTTACTTACCTAAACAGAATTAAGCAGATTGATGACCTACTATTGAAAAGCACCAGTCTTCACCACTGATCTACATCTGAACAAGTCAAATCTCGAAAATCCATACCTAATAACATGTCAATAAGGTACTGTTATATCCTAGTAGAGATTACATTACGAGTAACGCCTGAGATCTATTAATGGACTAATATTATTTATATATTCTTATGGCATACATATTCAGTAACTAGATTATGTATATTTACATTCTCCTTATTATAAGCTTTATTTTGACCTGTATATTATTATTATTGTACGATTTACTGTTCTTAAGCAATGTTCAGTTTATTGACTACTGTCTCCCACGTTCATAGCCACTTTTTGGTTTCATTGTGTACAAATGTTATTTCCTACTTTATGGTGCGTTGCGATCTGTTTGTTTGATATATAAACCCAGTATATTTGAAATATAGGGTTCGCATAGTGGAAGCTAGTATTGGTGTTCTGGAATCAACTGGACGGGTTAGGTGAACATAGGACCAATAAGGACGCTAAGCTGCTCATACCGGTCGAACGTGATTGGTTTGGCACAGTGCTAAGATTGTATTAGTCGTATTTTGATTGGCGGATAAATCACGTAATAACTAGCCGGATATAAAGCCACAACAAGTACAATCTTGAAGATCAAACGAAGTGTAAATTTAGACCATTTATATTTCGACGAAACATACCGTACACAAACATCCAGAATTGAACACTATATGTTCTATATCGTGTGAATTTGAAGTTTTACTTCATTGAATACCGATATCCATCTATTTTTCCCTGGTTTGTAACTGATCCTACAGTTAATAATCAGGTTAGAATAAAACACACTCATATTATAATCAATCCCTTCATTATAAATCCCCTCTGACTGAACACAGTTATTTTATTACTAAATTAAATGGTTCAAATCCTTACATTTTTAATGATTGAGTAACAGAAGACAAAAAAGCAACACATTGATTTCATTAGGCTTTAACATGAGATAGGGATTCAATAGTGTCATTTACTGCCGTTTGTATTTTGGTCATCTCCGAGTGTAATAAACATTATCAATAATAAAATTTCCCAATGAAAACGCCTAGAATTAATTCATAAATCATTTTACGCCCAACTAATATCATAAACCAGACAATGTATATCAGACTATAATCAAAGTTTTGTAATTCATTTCTTCCCATCTAATTATCTATTTAATTGTAACTTAATGATGAAAGCATTTGACTTTTAATAATTTATTATCAAGTTTAAACATTGTTTCATTTACTTTAATTTGAATAATTGGATAGTATCATTAGTCCTTATACTTAAGTATCTACCTGATGAGTCAATTGATCATTCATATTACTGAGTCTGCTGACTACTCTAAGCAACAATGCAGTCATGTTCGGCATGCGATTTTCTCCCTCGAAATGCAAAATGTTACTTCAGGATTGGGTTGCATCGACACCCGAACTAGTGATAGGGAGTGAAGTAGTTGAGCGTGTCGACCGCTTCACTTATCTTGGAAGTCTAATCAGACTTGTGGTCTGGTGTGTGACGAAATCTCAGCACGGATACAAAAGGCTCGACTAGCTTTTGCCAACTTGCGTCATTTGTGGCGTAGACGAGATATCTGTCTATCAACCGAAGGACGTGTTTACTGCGCAGCATTTCGTTCCGTCCTACTTTATGGCAGTGAAATATGGCCAGTAAGAGTAGAGGATATTCGTAGGTTACTAGTATTTGATCATAGGAGTCTTCGAAACATTGCTCGTACATCCTGGGACCACCGAATTAGTAATGAAGTTGTTAGGAAACCGGTACTAGGTAAGGATGGCAAATCAATCGATGAAGTAGTAAAACTTCATCAGTTGAGATAGCTGAGACATGTGTTACGTATGCCCGACCACCGACTGCCCCAATGTGTGATGTTCAATGGTGTAGGAGTAGGTTGGAAGAAAGCTAGTGGCGGCCAGACCAAAACATGGCACAAATCCATCAAGTCACTGACAAGTGGACTAATCCATGTTGGTAGGTGTAGACTACCTAGTTGGGGACCACGAGATGATAGGAACTGATGGTTAGAGACCTTGAATGACATGGCTCAGAATCGTTTGCAATGGTGCAGGTGCATCCACTCGTTGTTTTCTCTCAAACTCTAATCTTCTGAATTCTTCATGTCCTTTATTTTCTTTCCAAATCTATTCTCCTGGATTATACTCCTTAAACAACATCGTCAAACCGTAATGTTCCCTATCACTACTTATATTTTCACTACCTCTACCACTACGGGATTTGAATCGATAACTGCATCTCTGTGCTAATGTGGTATGGCAACTCGAACTGATGTACGTGCGTAAGGAGTTCCACGTTGTTATTGACTGACTGACTGTTCTGTGTTTAAATGTAAATGTTATCATTTACTTGTAACTTTTGAATTAGGGCTATATCGATATAATCTACTTTCGATGCATATATGCCAACATGAAATAGATCAATTGCAGTCCTAAAAACAATGGGAAGATACAAGTAAAACAATATCAAATGAATTTAAACATCACCTCATTGAACAAATAGATAGCTATCAGGACTCAGTAGCTAAGTGGATAACGTGATGATGTTAGAAGTTAACGGTACTGGGTTCGAGTCCCGGAATGGACATCAACTCTGAGATGCAGGTACATCCAGTTGATAAGTCCCAAAGGGAACGAAACGCGCATCAAACTGGATTCTACTGCTAGCCACTATCTATATTTGCGTAAATTTTATCAGCTAATTTACTAAATTTTACAAAATTGTTTAGCAATTAAATTGTATTATAATTTATTACTATTAGTAGTATTATTATTATTATTGAACCCTATCGTACCAATAAGAGACTGATCAATTTCAGTTCTAAACGTCAATTGGGGGAGATTCAAACAACCAATAACAACGATTAATTGAAAACCAATAAAATCAATTTACCTTAAACATATGAGCTTCACCTTTGAAATCCATAGCATGACCACCATGTTGTTGAAGAATACGACGTAAATCATTGAAACGTGAAGATGGTTGATATTGAGATACTTCTTTCATATCAATATGTTGGGTAGTATTATTATTATTATTATTTGTGATATCTTTCTAGAAGAAATTAATAAATAAACAGATTAGATATTCAATTGATCAGCTATCCAGTTTACAACTGAGAATTCACTCATAATTCATTACAACAAGAACATACATATAGGTAAGATAGATAAAGAATAGAAACAATTAAAGATTTAACATGAATTGGTAACAATTCAATTTGTCATGAAATATCAACTTAAACGGTTAAAAAAAACTAGAATTCTTCATTGTGATAAAGTTATCACTCTAAACTACAGAAACGAAGCATACTACTGCATTCAGTTGTATCACCCCCCCAAAAAAACCCCAATATCCAATTTAACGAGAGAAATTTGGAGAATATTGAAAATTTTAGTAGATTCATCTTATGAAATCTCTCACACAATTCTAAGATAAGATAAAGGGGATTTCAATCAAAAATAAAGAATTGATTATATCCTTTGGTGTAACAGCTTTATTCACTTCAATCGAATCAAGCTTAGTAAAGGAAACTCTATCGTTGTTCCTAACCAACGACACAAATGTCCAAAAGTACATAAAGGTTTATAATTAAAATCCACTAGAACTCACAGATTTATGCTTAACAATATATTTTATATTGAACAATAAAACCCATTAACAAACGAAAGGAACACAAATGGAATCATCAATATCAAGGATTATTGAGTGAGCAGTGATGAAGAGATTCCAATTGCGAGGATCATAATATAGAACAAAGCGGAACCCATACATGAAAATCAATTAACGGTCAAACGCTATGATATATTTTCGATTATATCAATAAACATGGATACATGAACACATAATCGATTGTAAAAATGTTGAAATCTTGAACAGATGAGATATTAAGAACACTAGAGTATTTTCAGAAGCTTGATACTCAAAGTGTTATTAGTAATTAACAAATATATCGAAATTGACGAACCAATCAGAGAAAATCATAGACATATATGTGACCAAGAATCAGATTACTATGTTGAAGGTTAATAATACCTAATCAAGATTGACGTCGATACGATAAACTGTTAGTCATATATATAGAGAAGTACGAATATTTCACTTCTACCTAAAGATTTTAAACTAATAAAGAAGAACAATAAAAACTGAACAACCAAACCATTCAGATTAAAGAACAAAACTCCATTTAAATGAGCTTATACTTGTAAAATGGGTTACAATACCTATATTGTTTAATGACGATACTCCTCTTTGTTATTACTAATCACCAAGACTTCATAATTCATAATCACGGTTTATATAGTCTTAGTAGAATTAATAGCCGATCTACTCAACCTACCTTTCCTCTAGCTATAAGGAAAAAATTATTTGATGATAAACTATAACATCACAGGTTGTTATTAAGTTTGAGAAGGAATGATGACTAAGCTGACTAAAACATTGAATTTTTAGCTATCAGGTTGCAGTCTCCATCTCTACTCCATCGACTTTGATGTGACCTAATGGATAGCATGTCTAGCTTTATTACAGAATACAAAACCTATGGCTTGAAAAGTGAATACAAGATATTTTTGTATTCATTGAATTAGCTGTACTAGTCAGTTGAAGGTTGATTATGAATACAGTGGTCTTGAGTACTGTTGGAGATGTGAAGGCGGTTATAACTTTCCGGTTGCCCACACCGCGGAAGAGTTCTTCTGGAGGTACCTAAAAAGGAAATTGGATTAGAGGTGGTCTTAATGACCTGAGAGCGTGACCGCAGTAACCAATGAACAACTGCTTTCGGTCAGTCACACACGACCTTTTTATGACTAGATTTTGTGTTAGCTCCGTACTTATTGAGACCTTACTGCCGGAGACAGATACTCGTGGGATAAGGCGAGCTGTGCATTTTTAGGGTCGATTTTTTCTAACCCCACCCTTCCTTGTAGGAAGGCAGCATTGCTGTTATGCTGGTTGTCTAAAAAAAACACCTTACTGCTGTCACACCTCTGTACAGTCAGCAGTACGACTTCGCCTTCGAACCCTGGGTTTGCTGCTTTTAGTCTTAGCATTCTTCAACCGACCTATTTGGCATGGTAGGACCTTAAGGAACGGTTGTTCCGGTCATTATGGTTCAGTTACTTCATCAAGATAGGCAAGCCCGACCACAATATCAAGGTAGCAACAACGGTTGGGACTAGTCAGTTGAACAGTCATTAAACTAATTTAATCACAACTAAACATTCATAGATACATATAAACTACTAACAATATCAATATTATCTGTTTCCATAACGGTTTGAATAGTTTGTGTATTGCCAAAATTACGAAAAGAGAGTAAACGTGAAAAAAATCCTCCACTAGTTCGTGATGTATTATTTAATTCTTTATCAGTAATTATTGATTGTTGATCAATTGTTTTAGATGAATATGTTAAAGAATCTGATTGCTGAATAGTGGATTTTGTATTGATATTAGTTGATGGATTAGTGGATAACTAAATTAAGAGAGACAAAAAGAAAACAATCAATGTAAGATACACAAAATGAATTAATTAAAGAAAAACTATATACAATTATTACATTTAATGACAGTATATAAATTTATTTTTTTGATTGAGATCATCAACCGATTGATGTTAGACTACCATTGAAAACCTGAAAACATTGGATGACTGTTTCGCCCCATTGTGGTACTGCTCATCAGTGCACATTCATCATCTCAGTCGCGGGATTTGAACCCAAGGTATTTAGTCACGTGCGCAAACGCTTAATCTGTAGACCACTGAGTTGACATCCAACAATTTTAATGTCTAATTCCAACCAATTCAGGAAATCACGCGACCATCTTCGATTGTACTAAGGAAGATACCTGTATCTACCCGACACGGATCAACTACACTGATCACGGCTTCTAACTAGGACTTCGCGAATTCACTCAAGAAGCTAGTCACTAGTGAGTACATGGTCATTATAAGTATAGGGTTGTTGGTTGAGGTTAGACAATAACACCGTTAGATTCCGTATTGCTGAAGTGTCCTACCATAAGACGAAATGATGAAACATTCAACTTATTGAGATCTTAAACACTAAAACAAAACTCTATCAGAAACACTGTAGTTGTTGAGATATTTTTACAATTGTTTATGACTTCAAAGTAGTTCAAGACAACTATCTTGGAATTCAAGTATTTATCATATGATTGATGAAGTAAATTGTTTTCTCAGTTATAAATTAGGTAAGAATTATTTCCTCATTAAACATAAGCAGGCAACATTAACTGTTGAAAAAAAAATTTTTTTTTGAATAATTACGATATAATTGTATACTAAACAGAAATTTGTTGTTATATTGTTTAAATGCCCCCCAATGCCCTGGTATGGCCGATAGTGGGGGGAGTCCGCTCTCCCTCTCGAAATACTCTCACATGGCCATGCGTATACAGCCTCTGCCAGGGAAGTCCTACTCACTGCATTCTCGTGGCGGGGGTGTTGTTTACGAAAATGAGAAGACGAAAAGCGAATGTCCGGCGCTTTAACCGGATTCCAAATCAATGGTGCACATGGGCTGGCTTCAGTATCCTGAAGGAACAAATGGCGTATGAACCAATCGTTGGTCACCGGCTACCATGGGACTGCATCTCCTCACGATGCTCCACTGCCTTGTGGATCAGATCTTTAGGTCAAAGGCTCGGGGTGTGGCCCCCTAAGAAAACCACCTGCTTCGGTTTGGGCACCCGGGCAGTATCACAGCCCTCACACATATCAAATGAGATCTGTGTGGCGCATATGTATTTGGTGCCTTCTTGTACCGATATCTATGTGTTAAAATAAATAAATATTGTTTAAATAGTGCTGAAAATTTTTTTTACTATAAAGAATTTTTTTTAGTAATCAATATACCAATTATTTACAATTGATTCATCATTGAATAGTGACTAATATCATGTAATTCAAATCTTTCTGAGTGGAAATCGAATCTTATCAACCAAGTTGTAATGTGGTCACTAGTTTATGTGACTTGATATTACATGGACTATATTGAGATGTAAGGTGATAGATTGAAGATTGTTAACAGAAAACATTGAATTGAGATTTCATGCTATTTAGCAACATGTACCTGTAATCTTGAAGGAACAGATGCTTCGTGACAGATTCAATTCCTTGTCACCTAGCTTCATGATTAGAGAGATATATATATATAACCACAAAGCTATCCGGGCCGTGACTAACCACTTATTGAACTGAGGTGTATTTATAATCGTCAATGTCATATATATCACGTTTTTCTTAGCGTTCATTGAATTCTATCAATCGAGTCATAATATGGATAGTAGTTTTACTGACTCAATATGAAAATGAAGAACAAAAACAAATGAACTTACTGTCTCTAATGAAGAATCGCCTAAAGTTGACCATTGATCATTTGTCATTTTATCAACATTCGTTGATTTGTTGTAATTATTATTGTTAACATTGATAGATTTACAAATCTTTTGTTTACATTGTCTTTTATCTCTTTGTAAACCTTCATCATTATCATCATCATCATCATCATCATCAGGAGTAACAGTATAATCTATTGTTTCATCTTTTGAATAATAAGATGGAGAAGAACAAGATGATGATGATGATCTTGTTGAATGTGTTTCACTAGTATTAGTAAGCCATCTTTCTAAATTATCATGTCCACTATGTTGTACAATAGCGCTACAAGCATCAAAATATGCTTGTAATGAATCAACTTGTTTGCATAATATCTCTCTATTTAGAGAATAATATGGATAGAAATATAGATAAACCGATTATATTTTCATGCATACAAACAGCAAAAGATATAAAACACTACAATAACCATTAAAGAAACAGGTTCATTTAAAGTTTTCAAATCAATCAATGAAAATATTTCATCAACAATAAAGTTTAATATGAAATCTAGGTCAAGTAATGACTAGTGACCTTTTTATAGTTTAATTTAAAATATGGTAACCAATTAATCTATCTTCAAAGTACTGAAATCAATTAATCACTGATAATTTAATTAATGTCATTATTAACTATTATGTATTAATATGGGACTCCTAAGCAGTACGGCATCCACCATCCCTCCCCCCCTTCGCGAGACTCGAACCCAGGACTTATCAGTCTCGCGCGCGGGCGCTTAACCATTAGACCACTGAGTGGAGTGCAACCCGGTCTGTTGTGAGATAATAACTCACTAAAGACAATGGTGGATGTGTCACTCAATTTCGTGGATTGATTGAAGTTAGACATTAACACCGTTGGATGCTGGCCGGCTCAGAGGTCTAATGGTTAAGTACTCGAGCGCGAGACTGATAGGGCCTGAGTTCGAATCTCGCGGGGGGCGGTATTGTGGATGCGTACTGCTGAGGAGTCCTATACTAGGACGAAACGGCCAGTCAGTGGTTCTGGGTTTTCCATGGTGGTCTAGCTTCAATTGGCTCATGACTTTAACTATTGAAATTACTAAAATCACAAAACCCCTTCTAATATCATGTATTAATTATGTAGAAAAATGTTATTGTTAAATGACCATTCTTTCTTTTTTTAAAACCTAGATTTCCAATCTTTATAGTCATTCAGTTACAACATAGGACTAGGCACATATATGTATCGGTCCAAGTTGCCATTACCTCATTAGCATAACAAGATGAACACCGGATTTATAGAAGTAGTCTTTATAACTCATGACTCTTCTTTTTTAGTGAAAATTCAGTTAATGATTTTGATAAGTCTTGCTAGATTCGGTTCCTAAACTCTTCTAGTAACCCCCAGTTTAGATCTACACAGTAACGTGAACACGAGAGAAAAGACGCGAAATATGGAAGAAACGATTTATTCGAAAGGTTCGTTTACGTACAGAAAATCTAGGGTTTTTATAGTATTTTAGATGACTTCGTGTTTCCGGAAAATTCTGGAACGTTACAAAACATAATAGCAGTATAGATTAGATGGTGGTTAGAGGTGGTCGACCACCTCCAACCACCATCTAATCTTACAATAGTGCCCGCGGTGTCGAGTCACCTAGACTGGTGGCCACATTGCAACATGATCGATAGCATTCGATCTGCACTAATAATAAGGACTAGACACGCATGACATTGGTCACCCAGTGATCAATCAATTGTGATAATAGCAGTATAGATAATACTCCAACCAGAAACTCGACGTGCGACTTTTCACTTTCTAGATGTTTCTGGCAAAACTTATAGTGAATGTTGATTGGATAAGATGTTTCTCAGTGTTTTCAGAGCCTTTGTTGGCTCTTTTCGAAAAGTTTTCTGGATCTTCTCAACAGATTTTCATTCAGTTTAAAATGTCATCGTCAAGCATGTATGTTCATGTAATAAGTAGAACTCAAATAGGTTTAAATATATGCGAAGCTTTGAGTTGTGGAGGCTAGTGATGATAAAGTCTAGTCATCCGAACTCTAATGAAGGTGAAATGAGTTGAAGCCCATAATCTAATAATTGAACGTTGAGTGCTTCAGTTAAGTATATTATTTGCTTCGAAATAATCGGCCAAAAATTCTGGACCCAGGTTTTACGGTAGTTGCCACTCGTTGGCAAGGGGTACCTATAATTTTGAGGGAATCGATGCTACTTCATGAATTCTAATCCGCATCGGCCAGCTCCACAATCTCGGACGTGATCACTCAGCTTACTTGGCTGCAACTGACCTCATGCATGACTGAAATCTTTACAACTGATTGATACATCAAGTCCAAACGTCAACACAAATTGCTTTAGATCAGAACAGTACTACTGAATGATCTGTGATCTTTTACAAGACGATGGAATGAATACAATACTTACAATCTTGTCATTTATTTACAACAACTTTTGATTATAGCTTTTCCTACTAACTTTCCCCATTCTGTGTACCATCCTCCATTTCGCTTATATTCAAAAATCCTGTCTAACCCGCTTATTGGTTTGTTGATTCGTTTTATTATGTTTCTTGTTGTTGTGTGATAAGAACATTATCCGAATATACTTATTTATAGATTTTAGTAAAACTCCGTTGTCTGAGCTAGATGGTGTGGTCGTGAAGCTTTCATTCTTCTTCTGAATAACAAGTAGGACTAACATTTTGAAGACAGTGTCCATTTTGTCTGATGGTACGTCCATTGTAGTTAAAATAATTTATTATGTAGATAATAGTTTGCCTTCCTTTCATTGGTCGTTCCATCGTTTTGGTTTGCATAGAATTAATTGAATTGGGTGTCCTATTTATCTTCATCGAAGCAATGTGCGTAGGCTACAGATGTCCCATCTTAAGTATAGATATGAGGATGAATTCATAGATCGTTGTGTTTTTATTTACAATTGACAAACAGAAATAATTAACGAAAACGTCAATACATCCATTTTTGACTTAAAACCCTTTAACCCATTTTAATAACATTGTCATTTTATCAATAAAATATTACATTCATGGGACTCTTCAGCAGTGTGTATCCACAATCCCACCTCCCAAGATTCAAACCCAGAACTTATCAATCTCACACACACACACAAGTGCTTAACCTCCACACATTTAAATCATCTTGTCTATTTAACCAGAATTATTTAAATATACAATATTAATATAACATTAGATCTGAATTAGTAATAGTCAAAGAAATGACCTAATTTTCAACCTAACATACACTTACAAGTTCAAACTTATTTATCTCTAAGCTGATAATGATTAATTCTGTATTAGAAAACAAATATATAATACACTTATCATTATACTATTTATTAAAACATTAAAATTATAAAACCATTTGATAAGTAATCATTCAATATTATTTGACATCCCTTTATTATAAAGATTAGACTGTTGTTGCTGCTGCCGCTGGTGCTACCCTCTCTCTCTCTCTCTCTCTCTCTCTCACTGTGTATGTGTGTGTAGGTGTAGGTGTATATATGAATATGACTAACCAGTTACAACATATTAATTAAAACTGTCTTCTAATATTGATGACCGACATAGACACATTTATATACATAACTAATATTCTAATCAAAATGCTTAGAAATAAAAGTCAAGTTTTTATTTTCTACACTTACTGTAAACATTATTCAGCTATAATAAAACATTGTCTTTCAATCAACTAACGATTAAACAAATGTTTACGTTTATGCTTTTTTTTTTTTAGAAAGTAGTAGTTGTTTGACCACCATCAAGAAGGTACAAGTATTTATAAATAGTTGTCTACGCAACATACTCAACATCCATTGGCCGGATACCATCAACAACAGTCTATTGTGGGAGAGAACCAACCAGCTTCCAGCTGAAGAGGAAATTAGGAAAGAACGATGGAAATGGATAGGACATACATTGAGGAAATCATCAAACTGCATTACGAGGCAAGCTCTAACTTGGAATCCTGAAGGAAAGCGGAAAAGAGGAAGGCCAAAGAACACATTACGTCGGGAAATAGAAGGGGATATGAAAAGGATGAATAAGAACTGGAAAGAGCTGGAAAGGATTGCCCAGGACAGGGTTGGATGGAGAATGCTGGTGAGCGGCCTATGCTCCTTCACGAGGAGTAACAGGCGTAAGTAAAAAAGTAACTAAGTAAGCAAGTGGTTGTTTGATGTTCTGAAGGTAAAAAGTAAGACAAACAAATCTAATCTAGATGATCTTGAATGATATTAGAGGTTTATGAGCAGTTGCCGGTTCTTGGTTTTCTATAACATGAAAGGATACTTAACATGAGGTATCTACAAAGGAAACTGAATTAGTAGTGGTCTTAGTGATCTAAAAGTATGAATACAGAGCCCAAAAAAACAACATTTTGAATTTGGTCACACAAAGTGTTTTTGTGATTAGTACTTGATATGTTAACTCGGTATTTCGAAATGGCCTTACCAAGTATAGTAAATGTGACCTTCGAAAAGTATAAATCAAACTAGACAGTTGTTTAGTTCTAATATGAAACTCCTCTGTAACTCAAACCTAAGACCATATCGGAGGTCAAACCCTGATGCTCTAGATTTGGCTGCAAGCTAGAGAAATTTACATTTCTAACTGCAATCAGTTCTCTGTACTGACTGACCAACTTAAAATGTGATAACGCATAAATGACACACATCTGGCGTTATTAATGAACCTTATATAGTCACGACTTTTCAGGTATTTACTACTAATAACTACATGGTTATCATTATTATAAGGGGTTTGCAATTTTCAAAGGTTATCTAACTGTAGACAATCCATGATATCAACTGTAAAATTCAAAATTCTCCGCAAACCTCATCTAAACAACAAAATGTTATTCAGTTATGAAGTTGGTTTACTGGTCAACACAATTGGATTGGACAAATGGGAAACATATCTATCTTCTACAGACAGATATATACACGTTAGGTTAAACTTAAATAAACAAACAAGCCCCTGATGAAAGAGTTACATTAATTCGCTATTACCAATATCAATTATCAACCATATAACTATCACTATAGGGTTGTGGAGATTACTGAGTATTTTAATTGTTGAATTCATGAGTCAATTGAAGCTAAACCATCGTGGAAAACCTCGAAGCACTGAATGGTCGTTTCGTCCGATTGTGGGACTCTATGGTGGTCTAGCTTCAATTGACTCAGGAATTCAACAATTAAATTACTATAATATCCACAAATCCTTTCTCTGATTATTAAGTGTTTGATTGAGGTCATGAATCGATTGATGTTAGACCACTATTGAAAACCTGGAATCATTGAACGGCCGTTTCGTCCTATTGTAAGACTCCT